ACAGACACCCCCTCCGTGGTGGGCCGGAGAGGAGGGGCCTTCCCCTGGGGTCTGTATTTAGTGTACCTGTATTTAGTCTGGCTGTCCTGTTTCTCCTCCATCAGTACCGTAAGTCACGATAATGAGCACACTGAAATTCATGTGCATTTCAACATAATGTAAATACACCATAAGCACTGAATAGAAGAGTTCGGGGTCACTTAAGAACTCCCGGGACACAGTTTCATGTTTCCTTCTGGTCACTCTGTGGGGTCATTCAAGGGGTCGATCACACCAACATGAGGCTCATGACATGAAGCAGCAACTAAGAGCAGTCGAGGCTGCCGGCAGCTGTTGTGTTTTCTGCACTGTAACTATTACCTCATGTCGGTCATATTCCTAAAAGAGTATCTGTCTTCTCACAGAATCCAAAAAAAGGCACTTTCCTATCCGGTGGGCAAATGACAGCATTGCTATGAGCATCATGTGGTGGCTGACAGTTCTCTTTGGGGAAAAAAGAAACACATGAGCCTGCCTCGTCCCTACGGTGGTGTCATGAAGACAGCAGCTAACGTTGAGGGTTACTCTCTCTGTTTTATTACCAGAGCCGGAGACAAGGACTGATATTAATCTGTCCTGGCTAGAATTCATATAGCAGAGATGTGACTTAGTTTCTAATAAAGAAAATATGTCCATGTCACTGATAGGTTCTCTATAAATGATGGAAAGCAGAAGAGAGTGTCTCTCGAATCCAGGAATGAATGGCATTTCAGTCTTGACTTAATACTGAGTTTTGGCTAAAGCACATTGCACCTGCTGTCACATTTTAATTTTCACAAATCTGGTTTCACACTTAGCCACAGACTGCTTAAAAACACAGGACTAAAAGACCAAGAGGTGTTATTATACACAATACAATCAAGTGTAAACTTAGCAATGTGGTAATTATATCACTGTACACAGTTAAATCAATTAAAGGTAATAATGGGGAAAATCTGCTTTTTAACACGTTATTTTACAACTTAAAAATTCAACTTTATTAAGGGCAAATCAATCCTCTCTGCAACTGGGTAAACTGTATCTATTATTCTGCATGTGGAACTCAACACAGTAAATAGCAAAGTACAGAACATCAAGTAGGTTTTCAGAATGAACTAAAAAAAGTCCAAGTAACACCAATACGAGTAATAACTCATGGCTAGTTCAAAAGGTGGCCTAGAAGAGCCCCCAGGAGGAGGCCGAGAAGCATCGCTAAGAGTCACTGATTAAACCCTAGGGAGCAGGGAGTTATGAAGACCAGCAGCACAGGCTCACTGATGGGACCCTGTCGCCCAGAACAAGCCGAAAATGGAACTTTAGGTGATTAAGAAATACATCAGAGTTTTCATTTTTGGAAATTTATAACACATGCTTCTTTGCCTAAACCAGCAGTACATAAATTTTTAAATAATTCTAAAGAGAATTAGGTAAAGAAACAATATCAGAAATACTGAAGAATCACATCAAAAACTAAGTCACATGGATAAAGTACATATACACAGCTGAACTGTTTATATAAAATTTTAGCAGTATTATTACTTTATAATTTTCTCTCTCATAGACTAATCGGGCCAGTCAAGGTAAACAGGAGTAAGAAATATATATATATATATATATATATATATATATATATATATATATATATCCAAAAAAAAAGTTCTAACAATTACAAGTCATTTTTTGAACTTGGTTTTTCAAAACAGAAGGTTTTAGAATCAAATAAGGATAAAAACAATTCAGAGGAAGGTGTGCGTGTGTTGTGTGTGTGTGTACGCGTGTGTGCGTGTGCGCGCGCACACTGCTCTATCCCTGTGTAAGGGCACGAGCATGCACCTGTCTGACTGTGACTCAGGGCAGCTAAGGGACGTCTCCGGCTCATGCATGCGAACAACACATCCGTGTGCGCGCGTGTGCACAGGAGTGCAAGAGCACTCTGTAAGCCCAAGCTCACTCCTCACCTACTGCAGAAAGAAGGCAGTCACTGAGAAGCCAAGCCGGGGAAGCAGCAACGGCTGCCATCCGCCTCACGACCTGTGCACCTAACAACTTCACTCAAGTGGAGCAAAAGCTCCCTTCAGATAAGACACATTCACATTCCTCAAAACATACTAAGGTAGATGTAATTCTGTCCCTTAAATTATAAATTAAAAGACTGCTTCAAACAAAATAGTTGAAAACAAAAACGAACAAACAAAAACCCCTCTCGTTCGTGTTGCAAGAACTGCAGAAGAATTCATTCTAAGACCCTCATCCTAACTACACCCTCACTAAGAAGTCAATTCAAAAGCTGACCGAATCACCTACATGAACCACAACAGATAGCACAACATAAAACGTAGCTTGCTGGATACCCCGAATACCACAAGCCAGACTATGGCCTACAGAAACAAAAGTTATGGAAATGTGCAAGTAGTATGTACCACAGCTTGAAAAAGTAATGTAAACGTAATGTTGCTTACCACAGAAAATACATCGCAAATTAGTGCTGTCCTGGGTAGCAGCAACCTTGCTCTGGGCTGCAACAGACACCTTGGTGTTAGAAGAAGAACTTCACACAAACTAAAAGGTGCTTTGAAAGGTTCAAAATGTTTTTATACATACGTCCTATCTAGATCCTCATTTTGGAAGCTCTGTAATTTAATAAAAATGTATCTTCTTTAATATAAACTTTAAAAAGAATTTTTATGTGTAATCTTATTTGTGGAAAAACCCTGTAATAAGCCACAAACCAAACAAGGCACTTATAGCTCTTTCCAGAGTTAATCAGAGAGTGCAATCGATTTACATTTCACAACCATATTTTGAAAAGTAAATGGAACTGAGCTATAGGAGGTCAGCATCCATGGCTGACTTAATTTTACAGTATCTACCCTCTTTCGGTATTGCTCATTTAGAAGACTTTGCCCCTCAGAAAAACTCAGGGGAAACACAAGATTAACTTAACCTAAGAAGAACTCATTTCTACTAGTAGAAAAAAACAAAAGCCATTTTAAACAGCCTGTAGCAATTAAAGTGGTTTACAGTCACTGATGTAAGTAAGAGTATCTTTATTGGCTTTGCACTCTGAAAAAACATCAAAACTATTCATTGTTTTACCAAGCCACATTTTATCGTTCCTCCCCCCCCCCAATATGTTTATATACTTGACAAAATATCTTATTAAAAACATGTGGCCACTTCAAATAGCCATTTACTATTTAGGCTACCTACATTAAAATTTACCCTAAGTATTAATGAAGTAAATTCTCTTTAACAGAAAAAAACTCAGTAAGAAGGTGCTAATTTATGAAATGGGGAAGGGCTTATATAAAATCAAGGTGACACTCAAAATTGGGATGGGAAAAACAAAATGAAAAATTTTCTTAGTATTACATTAGTGACATTCAAAATTTTATATCAATAATTTTCTAAAATTCCAACAAAATTCTTTTCAGCGTAGGATTTTCTTTTTCCATTGGTATTAGCCCAAAAAACAATGAACAGATTAAAATATATTGACTCAAGAAAGACTGCATAAAGGCAAACAAGACAGTAGTTTAGATTTCGCCTAAACCGTATTCTTTAAATAATACAATTTATGCTAACTAAAAGTTTGCATAGAATCAGAACCAAATCAATTTAAAGACTGTACATCTGAAAATGGTAATAAATCTTAAACAATCAGAATTTTAAAATCATTTTTAGAAATTAAGATTTAATATCATCCAATTAAGTTTAAACCTTGCTTTAAAAATATTACATATAGCAGATATTTTCAAACACAAACAAAATAAGTAAGTTTGAAAAACATCACCTTTCCTATAAGTACTTCCAACAACCCCGTCTATTATTATTATTAAAGCCGCATTATATTCACTGTAATGACAGGAGAGAGACCACAGGCATATAACATGTCTACCAAGTCAATCACACCATTTCAAAGGAGATAAACAATTTAGGAAATTTTCAAGTTATATTTTAAGTTTAAACTTTAAAAGACTCTGCTTACTGATGTCTATAAATGACTACTTCTGTAAAGCCTTTATTAACAAACATGCCTGGTCTTCAGGTTTTACCCTTCCTTTAATTCATGTTTAAAGGGAAAAAGAGTAAGGAAAATATAAAAACTTACAAGAAAGCCCCGAGAAATGATCTCGTCTCGGACAGCAAAGCACCTGCCACGCTGTGCTGCCAATCATTTTGGCACAGTCATCTGACCACCGTCAGAATGCAGGGAGACCATTCGGCCCGCGTGAGATCCCACACTGTCCACCAAAAACTCCCACTCTTCTCACAGTTTACACCTACAAAGCACCATTCTTGCCCTCGGTATCTTCAGGCACCTTCTTTCTACACACTTCTACTCCTCGTCACCACATAAAATACTGATCTCCATTCTACTGCAGTCGGCACTGAGGCACGCGGCCGGGCGGACGGCAGCGCTTCCTGCCAACTGACTGCTGATGCCACTGTCTCTGGGCTCAGCCGGGGAGGAGGGGGAGTGCGGGATGCAGCAGTCACTGCCCGGACTGGGCGGACGCAGTAACAGGACGCCTGCAGCATCCTCACCGTCAGGGCGAGGGCCAGTGCTCCCTACAGCTCCACCCACCCCACCCCGAGAGACCCCTTCTCTCCAAGTCAGCCACAGGACTAATCAGGCTCGGCACTGAGAGAAGCATGGGCCCTGCAGGAAAGCACGCGCCAAGGGGGTTAAGATGCACACAAAACACAAAATTTAGCATCTACTGTCATGTAGTCTGCAAAGCAGTGATCGCTCAGGCTCTGCCTGCCACGCTGTCTGTCCCCACAGGTGTTTGGTCCGAGCAGCGAGAAGGCAGCAGCCTGGGCGGACCGGCCGCAGCGACCATGACGGGCTGTTAGCATCTGATCAGCATGACGGATGCTGCCGCCAGATAATCACAACAGCAGAACCCCAGCTGCAGTCCCGAGGCAAGTGCTAACAGGGATACTACCCATCTAGGCATTTTTTTCTGAGGATTCAATGAGATAATGTTTGCTTAAAGCTGGTTTTACTTCAATTTACTCTCTAGAAAGCCAGTCTGCTGAGTGGGCACATACATCGTCAGCTTCCAAACGAGCAGTGTTCATGCTTTTGACCATCAATGAGGCCCCCAGGTATTACCCTCGTGATCGCAAAGTTCTACGACACACATTCTGAAAGGGGATAAAAGCAAATGTGTGTCTGTTCTCAGGTGGCTAGAAGACAATGGAGGAAGACACCGCAGCGGTGTGGCTGCTGCTGTGAAAAAACAAAACAAACAAAAGCAGGTACCACGGGAATCACGGGAATGCAAACAGTGCAGCCACTGCAGAGACACTATGGAGGCTCCTCAAAAATTAAAAACAGAGCTACCCCATGACCCAGCAATCCCACTTCTGGGCACACATCCAAAGGAAATGAAAACAAGAACACCCGCACCCCTATGCTCGTTGCAGCCTTAGTCACTCACAGTAGTCAAGATACGGCAACAACCTAATGTCCATCAGCAGATGAACGGGTCAAGAAGATGCAGAGCGTGCGTGTGTGTGTGCATGTGAGAGAGATTCCATTCTGGAATCTTACGGAATACACACAATGGAATATCACTCAGCCAGAAGAAAGAAGGAAATCCTGTCACTTGCACGAACATGGACGGACCGTGCAGGCATCACACTAAGCGGAATGAGCCAGACAGAGAAAGACAAAAGACTGCTGGCATCACTTGTATGTGGACTTTAAAAAAAAAAAAAATCCAAACTCATAGAAACAGTAGGGAAGTGGCTGCCAGGGCCTGGGGGGGGGGGGGGGGGGACGGTAAATAGACAGAGGCTGGTAAAAACGTACGAACTTTGAGCTGTAAGATGCATGAGGACCGAGGATCTAACAGACACATGGTGACTGTAGTTGATAGCACTGTACTGTGTAACTGAACTGTGCTAACTCACCCAAATGACACACACACACACACACACACACGAGGTTCAGGTGGTAGATGTGCTAACTAACTAGATGGGAGGGACGCTTTCACAGTATATACGCTTTAAATATCTTACAGTTTTGTTCTTCAATTATACCTCAGTAAAACTGAACAAAAGAGATACAGACATACAGACCTAGGTCTCATTCTGCAGGGCTCCGCACCAGCACACGAGAATTACAACAAAGAGCAAACTGTGTGCAGAGTGGTGGCGTTTTTAAAGTGGCATTTTAATATTTTCAAAAAAATTTTCACATTTCGCTTTAAAATATGTACAGTTTTTAATGAAATATTTATATACCTCAGGAAGTAGAGCATCATGCATCTCTAGCCACACATGAAAAAAACGCCAACACAGAAACTTCTGTCGTGTCGCTGTGCCTAGTCTTAGGCAAACTGTACATGCGATGGGGCTCCCCTGCCCCGTTCATTTGTTTAATCCTCCCCAACTTACGGCCTCAGATATGCTTTATTCTCTTCTCAGCAAATGGAAGACGGCTGCTAACAGCTGACAAACTGCGGAGAATTCAGCAGAAGCTTGAACAGCGACAGTTGTGACATGCCCCCAGCCCACACCTGCTCCGTACACCGTTTACCTTCAGCTGCAGAATCAAGGAGTCTATCCACAGCTACAGAAACCGTCAGAGTCGACCATAATGTACCAATCCTGCCACGTCCTGACACTCGGGAAGGCGAGAGTGACCTGCGTCCCACGTCCACTTCTCTGCAGAGCAGAGCCAGCCCCCCGACCACCCTAGAGGCCCCCTCTGTGGCCAAGGGCACTGGGACGCACATGCACAGGCAGGCAGCGGCTACTTCAACAAACAGGATCAGCCTATTGCTGGAGCACTGGCTGGGCCTCTAACCAGCACTGTGATCTCCTCAGTGGCACAAACCAGAAGTCCAGGGCCCTCGTCACCCCTTCCTTTTTATTACGACTAGTGAACCTACTGCCAAGCTCCTCCTGTCACCTCGAAATCCCTCTCTCCAAATGGCCTCCACTCCAGAGAGTGGTTTTCATAGAGGGATGCACTTATCCCAGGATGCTAAACGTACATTGGCATGGGAGAGAAATCAGCAGCACTTCTATTTCTGTTCATTTTTCTCTCATCCTTTTCTTTTAACGTTCCATAATGTATGCAGTATGTCAACACCAAAGTACACACACACACACAGAGTAGGTGGTAAGTGCAGACGCTCCGAGACCACCAGCCCTGTCACAACAGCACCACCTCCTGAAGCTGCCCATTCTCATCTTGGCACCACCCCCTTCCCCTCAATAGCCGGTGACGCCTTAACGACTGAGCCAAATCGCCTCCCTTTGTAAAATGTCTTCAATTGCTTCCCACTGCTCTCCAGACGAACCTCAAACTCCAGCGCCTTCTCCCCATGGCGTGACCACTCCCTCTCTCATCCAGTCCACGCTCTGTCTCCCTAGGCTCCAGGCACCTGCTCTTTCCACCTTTCCAATGTGCTCGGTCGAGGCTCCTCCATCTGCATGGCCACCTTACCCTGCCCATGCCTTCTGCCCACAGTGGTCCTCTGCTGGTCAGCGGGAAGATTTCCTTCTGCACTAACGCTAACTTGCCGGTAGTCAACACTCAACTTGAGTTCCTTAGCCCCGAACAACGAAGACAATTATTCCCCCCTTCACTGGGAGTTCTTTTTCCTACTTGAGGTTTTAGCATATATGTTTCCTCCTGTTAGCCACTTCAAAAAATTTGACAGGATGTAATAAGCATAAATAAAAATTAGGTAGTTATCAAATTTTCTAAGAAATTTGAAGAATCTATCTGAAGACTTAGGAGAGAGGTTTCAGTACAATATTATAATTAGGCAGAGTGGTCCAAACTTCTATGTGGGCGAGAGACAGACAAAACGGGCCCACGACAGCTTACAGCACTGGAGACTAGCGGGGGGAGAATGACCAAGGCACCCAGCTCCACGGGGAAGGCTCACGGGAGATGCTATCAGTGACTCGAGGACGTCTCCGATTGTTTCTCAGGAAACACACCACCTCACTCCCTTACCCACGGGGAAAGAGCAGAAACGCTTGTAACCTAAAAAAGTGTTTACACTCTCATCGTACAGCACAGAGACTTTCAAAGACCGTGTCTCTTCGCTCCTACTTTTACAAGACAAAAAGAATTAAGAGAACCAAAAAAAGTATAAAGTTTCTAAGCTAATGCTCTTGGATGTGGCGAAAAATGAAGGCAGGGCAACTGTGGGCAGGAAAACTGAGCGTGGAGACAAAAGAAGACAACCGTCAGACATCTTGCGAATCGGTCAAGTGCTTCGCTCCATGTGCATTCAGCTCAGCATAATACTTCTGCTGCAATTCACCAAGGTTTAACAGGTTGAGTTTTTTTTAAACTGAAGAATCTGCGGAAGGCTTTCTGCTTTGCTTTTAAGCTCTCTACTTTAAAAAATGCTATGATTCAGTCATTACTTTGACCATACACCACATCCGACAACTTTAAAATAAGAAAGCCAACTGTTGAAACATGAAAGTCCCACTGGCACAACTTAGCACGCCTAGACACGTGACACATGCTTTTTATTATGCTTGACTTCTCAAACTGCCACGCGTGACCCATGCTACAAGACAGCTGAGGCATGAACACATCACACTGAATAACAGCTGGTCATCTGATTCCACGTATAGGGAATGTCCAGAATAGGCGAATCTAGAGAGTAGCTCAGTGTCGCCAGGAGCAGGGAGGGGTGGTGACGGTGGCTTCAGGCAGGGGGGCTTCTTTCTGGTGTGATTAAACGGTCTCAGGCTGCCTGCAGGGACGGCTGCTCAGCCCAGCAAAAACACCGACCGCTGCATTGTACGCTTCACGCAGGTAAACTGTGTGCGAGCTCAAGGAAGCTGTGAAGGAAAAATATAATCCCATGCTGGGTTTGTGTTCTTCATCTCGAAGCCATTTTTAACACAAACTTGAAAAATATTTCAACATCTATCACCTTTCCCTTATGGAAAATATAAAAGGTGATTATCTCTGGGTGGTAGGATTTTGGGTATTTTTTTACTTTCTTCTTTATGCTTTTCTGTACTACTTAAATTCTTACAATAAGAACATAACTTTTTAATCAGGAAAAAACCCACTTATTTTCCCCTGAAAAACAAAATGCTCTGCTGGAAATTACAGCTCCATTAGCAAGATCTCTGGCCAGCTGAGGGCCCTTGTGGCTCTGGCCTTGGATCGCAGAAACGGATACAAACGATGAAGGAAGTGACCGGAGTAATAACAGCAGGGTGACTCCGAGGGTCTGGAAGGGCAGCAGAGCCAGGATGCCCTTTCCAAACTCGAGAGCTGGTGTGGGAAGGCCCATGGCAGTCCCCCCGCCAGCAGGAATCAACACCAAAGGCGTTTCTTAGGCAGGGACTCTGAATACCCGTGTGCTCGGGATGGGTCATCCCAGTGACGCCAGGATGGTGGTCTCCCTGTCCGCGGGGCCCAGCGCCCGGCTCTCATCTTCTTTGCACAGGAATGCCAGATACTCCAGCACGTAGACTAAGAAGCAACTTCTACCGAAAACCACACCAGGCAACTAATACTTATGATGAAGGTGTCGTTTATTTTTGAAACTCAAAAAGATATAAAGTTTTATTAAAAGGATAGTTTGGTTAAATACATAAAACACAAAATAAGCTGGGCTTGTTCACGTGATGTGGGGTTTACCACCTGGGGTGCTGGCGGGGGGGTGGGGTGCACCTGTCAGCAAGGATGGACACTCTGCCGACACCAGGAGCTTCAGTCTCCGAAATTTAATTACATCCACAACAATATGTACTTTTATATCCTTACTCTTTATTTTTTTTATTTTGAAGATTTTATTTATTTACTTAAGAGAGAGTGAGCAAAGCAAGTGGGTGGGGGGAGAAACAGAGGCAGAGAGCAGGGAGCCCAACATGGGACTCAATCCCAGGACCCTGGGATCATGACCTGAGCCGAAGACAGACGCTTAACCAACTGAGCCACCCAGGTGCCCCCCAAATTAAGGAAACTTTAAATTAGGAGTGTCACAGGTTCCCACTCTTAATAATAAAGTACTTCTTTTTCAGGAAAACTGTACACTAAATACTTATCTTTTAAATTATATTTTTAGTATTTTTGTTGAACTGTTAGGTTTCAATTATTCTACTTTCTTCATTAGACATTTTTCATGTTAAATCTGAATCTTTTAACTACTCACTCTCTAAAAATAAGATGTAAAAGCAGCAGCAACTCACTGTTATTTAAAAACAAAATGGGGGGCTGGGGGTCTTCAGTATCAGCAAGAGCCCAGAAGGAACATCATGAAACGCCAGGACCACCCGCTGGAGCCTAAGGTCTTTTGGATGCACTGTGTGATTGCGGAGTTATTACTGTGTACTGTCTACTCAGAGTTAGCGGTCTGCCTCGCCTGGCTTGCAGATGCTCAAAGGTAACGTCTGTGCCATGTTCATCATCCTAGTGTGAGCAACCAGCATGACCAGCTTGGCACAAAGTAACTGATACATTTGTTTAAAGTGGTTTTTTACAGAATTCACGCTCATTAAACAGAACCTGTTGAAGGTGTGCTAGCGGTAGTCTAAGTACCTTTACATGTATCAATCCATCTAAATGATGCAAATGGGTAGGATGGATAGGAGAATGAATCAATCTGTACATAATTTTATTAAAAAGGAGAGATATATAAGACCAGAAATATTTAAACAAAAGTCAGGGAAATAAACCTGTTTTTAAATAAGAAAAACAACCTTTATGTGGATGGAGAAGTGGGAGTTCCTGTAAAGCCTAATTCAGTATAATGTAAAGAAAACCCCAGAAAACCTGTATGTGAAGTTTTTAATGGACTGTAGCTTCCAGGAAAGAATTAATTCTTTAAAAAGCAAGGAAGCTGCCTCGGCCATAGCCACTTCCCAGAGTGAAGAAATTCAGGTGAAGGCAAGTTCTTTGCCCAGTCCTGACATGACAACCAAGAGCCATCAGAAGGCAGGGCACAGGAAGGAGCAACCTTAAAGGCAGGCAGGACTTGAGAAGCCAGGGGCGTGTGGAGAAAGGTAATCTGGCCATGCATCCTCCTAACAAACTTACCCTGAACTTGTTCGTAAGCAAGTCCACACTCGACTCCCGGCTGCTATCACATCACTATTCATAGGAAGATCAAGTTTTAATAACACTTGCTCAAAATCATACTTCACTAAGTAGAGGGGAAGTTTTGGCAGAGAAATAAAAGCTGCACTAATAGACAAGGTGGAAACCTCACAGTCCTGAACACCTAGGGCTTGTGCGGAATGTGATACTCAAAAATAAAACTGTGCCATCTAAGCAGAAGCAGATGTGTTTATTTAAAAGTGAAGAGATGTCATTCAAGCTGATTTCCCCAAAGAATAGTACGTATCCCTTTGGAGCAGTATAACAGTTAGGGCTTCCTAAGAACAGAATTCTCGACACTCCAACATCCATTCATGGAAATGATACTATCAAGTACTATTCCTGCATTAAATGTACTTGAGAGCCGTTTGTAGATCCCATCTTAGTCCAAATTAGCAGGCTGTGGGTTACATTAAAAAAAACATATGTGTCTTTTGGCCTTCAGCAGACAGAGATGCTTTGAATAATTTGATGTGTTTGTGCCAATAGAATCTGCTAGTAAAGATTAGCAGTGTCTAACTGTCACTAACTTTGGTTCTGCCTAATTCATTTATTCAATCCAGAAATTAACAGTTTAACACTGTTCTGAGAAAACACTAAGTCCCTCAGCGGTGAAAGAAGAAACAGAAAGCTGAAAACCTGGATGCAGGGGGGTGTGTTTACTTAATACAGAGCCGAGAGGGGCCAGCTCCCGAGAAACAGGGGCCACATTAAGGAGTCTACTTTGTTCTAGAAACAAGGGAAAGCTAACACAAGGCTATCTGGTGCCCACGAATCTACCCTGACCCCATCAACGTAAGGTCCATCCGAAGCAGTACTTGCAAATAGAATAGAGACCCACTTCCTGGGAGTTCATGTCACGCATCCAGTCGATATCTTCAAATTGGGAATGTACGATTCTATGGCTTAAATATACGAAGACTAAGGGACTCTAAATCTGAATAAGAAAAGGTAATTATTTGTGTTTAGTATAGCATTACCACAGTAAAGATCAGGATAGTATTTGCAAAGGAGACTCCTTACTATAAATGCATTTCTTCCTATGTGAACGACACTGTCATAACCAAATACCCCTGAGAGTTTCCACAAAACAGAAACCATTTGTTTTCTGGTGTGAATTTTCTCAGAAATTGCAAAAGCCCACAGAAGCAGCAGGTCTACCTTACAAGAACTACTTTCGGTATCTTCCCACGAGCAGCTTGCTGTGTTCATTCTACCTCACAACTGCCACTCTGTCTCACTCGAGGGACGAACACTGCCAGGCAGACATTTCTGACCTCATCTGTCTTCTCTACGCAATTCACAGCCCCTTTAGGTCCATAGTTTTGAATTACTCATTTTTGTTTCTCTCAGAACACGTAACCTAGAACCTTACTAAGAGTACAAATAATTCAGTTCCCTGTGGCTTTTCTTCTTTTAGATTATGAGACCACCTACCTCTTAGGAATTTTTTATGGATTAAGGAAACAATATTCTTCAGATATACAATACTGATTTCAGTGATACCACTGTTTAATACCATCTTCAAAAGACTGATTAGAATTTTTCTGTCTTGCCTAGAACATAAAAAACAGAAACATCTAATGTTCATTCAGAGGCAGCAATGTACACGTGCTCTTTGCTGACTACAAACACAGACAAGTCCACAATACACCATCCCATTTACAGACCGATAAAAGCACGTTCAGCTGTAAGAATGGCGGGGCAGGCTTGGCTGCCACGGTTGTGTTGTGACTGGTCTCACCGGAGAAGTAGTAGTAGTAGTTCCTGCGATTCAGTTCTCATCAATGAAGAACAAGACAGATTCTGTTCTATTAGAGCTTCTCCCTACTCCCTACATCCTTATTTAAAGATGGAAAGTCCTACGAAACAGGTATCAGAATTTCTGACATCCAGCAAATGCTTCTCCAATTTATGGGCAACAAATAGGATTAAAATTCAGGAATACAAGTAAAGTAAGTGTATATAATTACTATTCTCTTGCGGTAAAACATGCAGATAATCAAGGAAGACATCCTCGGATCACTGCAGCACCACTCATTAAATTTTAAGCTATCTGTAAAGAAAGCTGAGAAATGTTCCCAGCTAGACGTGCGTCAGACAATACCTGACAAGATGTCCCACCGCCAGAGAAGCAGAGAAACAAGAATGAGAGGCAGAGAGAATAGAGTGCCAACAAACTTCAGGCTACGGGCACCTTCAATAAGACTGACACGTGCAGATTAAACAGCAAAGTCCTGTCTCTGTCAGCCATTTGGTCACATCCATCTTGGAGCGGGACCAGATGGAAGTCTGCACCGTAAGACTAAAGCCACACCCGTGAACAACGTGGTGTCAGACTTGAGCCACAGACGTGCTGAGGAGCTTTCCCCAAACAGCTAGTGGTCCAGAACTTACAAGTCTAGTAGCAGATATTTTAAAGCTCATTTATTGTGAATCATACTTCCCGGATTCACCGATTGGAACATCACCGGGAAAATCACACATGTACCAATAAGAAACCGAAGGACCTGAACTTCTAAGAGGCAGTGCTCACACAGCAACAGTGCTTACTGGTGCTGGAGAGAAGATGGTTTCAAAGCTCCTCATGGGGCAATTTTTATACATGGGGCAGCGTGAAACAGATCTCCACTCTCCCTGTCGTTGACAGGTGGTGCCGGTCAGGGCAGGAGTGCCCACTTCCCCGACACACCCAGCCCCCAGGAAGTCATCCTGCTGGGAAGGAGAG